GGGGGGGGGGTTTGAGATGCGTGCTTGTCTGGATATGCCCAGGGATGGGGTTAGAGCAGTGGAAGCCATCATACAATCAGGTGGGGCTCAGCTGCTGCCTTCCATATTTAATTGGACTCTGGTCCCTGTTTTTTTATTTACAAACTATTTTTATTTGTAAATGTACTGAAAATTGTTTCTAGAAAATTTCATCTACTATTCTAAGGTTTCTGAAGCATCTCCAATGGGATCTGTCTGGAAAGAAACTGAAATTAAAGACAAAGTCCCCAACTACAAAAAGAAAAAAAGAATATAAATTATAACATTATGACTTTTGTAAAGCAAACTGACATTTAACAAGCTTTTAGGTATCCCAGTACCCTTCATGCTCTGATACACCTAGACAAGCTTTTGGGCATCTCAACCATGCCCTTAGTTCAATAAAAGATAGCACTCACAAGAATTCTTGCCTCTTGCAGATCTGGACCATCACAGCAATATCACTTCAACACTACCAGTGACATTATTTACATTATTGGTTGCTAGTGATAGTGCTAACTTTTAGGTTAATCCCCAAAGCTCAGGTAGCTTGCTGGGTAGGAAGACTGGGACCTTGGACCTTTGATGCTTCTAAATTGCTCAGTCTCTTAGATGGTGAAGAAGTGATTTAGTCAATGCCTATAGGCACCCAACTTGGTAACATGGTCAGTTACTAGGTTTTCAACAAAACTACTGCACTGAAAAAAAAGCAATTGGAAAAATACCTTATGACCAAAACTTTGCTCAGTTCTAGTTACCACTTTATTGCAGTTTTCTACTGAGTAGACCATCATAAATCTTCGAAGTTTCTAGTGATCTGAAAATAGGCATCTGAAAATTCTGGCATAGTTCATAATTAGTGACATATCAACTGCTACATTTCAAAGGATTTGCCTAGTTATTTTAATACTATTTCCAGTTACCATTCACTCAGATCAGAGGTGCTCAACCTCCAATTTATGGGCCAGAACCAGCTTGTAGGGGTCCCCATGGCTCTGCACATTTGGTAGCTGAGGAGTTCAACTGCTGCCAGATTTCTAGGCCCATGGGGAAACCCACATTCAAGTAATATGTAAGAGTGATGTGTATGGAGGCTGGCCAGAGTGGGTACTGGGCCCAATCTAGCAGCACAGGACCCCAGAAACATGGGGTGCAGTCCCAATCCGGCAGCATGGGGAAAGGAGGGAGCAGGGCCCCCGACCAGCCCTACATCAGTCATCTGGCCTGCAGCCCCAAAGAACTAAGCACCACTGATTGTAGATAATACAGAACAGCAGTTCTCAACCAGGGAGCTGGGGCACCCTAGGGTGCCACCAGATCACTTGAAGGGTGCCACAAGGTGGGAGGAGATAAGCAGATAAACTAAGCAGTGCAGGCTCAGCTTGCCCTTCCCTACATGATTCTCCAGCCCTGCTGCTCAGTGCCCTCTCTGCACTTCACTCCATCCGTTAGTTTTTGGAACTGGCTGCCTCTCGATTCACAAAAGTTATGGGGGGAGGCGGCTCCAGTCCAGCGAGGTTGAGAACCACTGATGCAAAGAAGAGCTCCGCGCTGAGCCCCACACTTGCATCTATTCATATTTGCGTTTACCAGTCTAGTCCATGTAAACTCTTCAAACTCAAATACTGGATCTTCCAAGCAGCAGCTCCCGCTGTGGGTCGGGTGCTGGTGCCTGCAACAAGACTTGCGCAATCGGGTTCACGCGGGGGAAGGACTCTTCTGTTATCTGCACGGCTGCAGCGTGGAGCGGCTCCGCCCCGGGAAGGGAGCCCTGCCCCACAGTCCTCTTGCGGGCGGGGGCACATAGCCACACCCTCCGTATCCTTGTGGGGAGGCTAAAACGTGTCTCTTTTCTGGGGCAAGCAAGGCAGCCGACTCCTACGTCTAGTACAGCCGGAGGCCAGGCTTCCCCAGCAGCTCTTTCCCACCTCAGACAAGCAGAGTTTAACAGCGGCCGCTGTTACGGTGTTTCTTCCCACCCGGGACAGGCTGGAGCTGCGAAGGCGAAGCGCCTCAAGTGCAGCAGTCAGTCTGGCGGCGCTCGCGGGCGGAGAGGCGTCCGCTCCTGCGGCTCGGGGCGCGGGCGCCTGTTCCCGCCGGCGGGGACGTGAGGCGAGGGAGCACCTCCCCTTCTGGTGCGCGGGGAAACGCCGCCCGGCCCGGCCTGCAGGCTCCCTGCGCCCTCGGCTGCGGCCCTGGGGGCG